AAGTGAGGGTGAGTGCCAGAGAGGTGAACTCACAGGCGGGCGAGTGAGGTCGCCCTGCTTAGTCTCTCGACCTTTATTTTGTTCAGTGACTGGTTTAGGTGTTTGTTGCCCAGAAGATTGTGAACTGTTATCGCAGTGCTCAGTGCTGTGTACTCAGTGCTGTGTACTCAGTGCCTGGATGAATGATCTGGTGAACAAATGACGTACTGCTTGCCCACCTGCCCCTTTAACGCTCAGAAAATCAGTCCTGCGCATCCCCAGTCCCCTCCCTGCCGCCCCAGGACCAGCCTCCCTTGCAGGGCTGGTCCCCTCTCACCTTGGCCAGGGCTGGAGAAGTGATTGTAATACTGGGACACGTAGGTCATGATGCTGAGGCAGTCCGGGACACTCATGGAGACCATGTCACTGGGGTCCAGGAGAGCAGGAATCCCCAGCTCCTTCTCGGCCACTTCAAAGGCCTGGGGTGGGGGCAGGTGTGGAGTGGGGAGGGTAGAGGGGCAGTGCAAGGGTAGGGGTGGGGGCAGGGGTGGGGGAAGGTGGAGGGGTAGAGGCGGTGGGGGGAGTGGGGGGTAGAGGGGCGGTGCAAGGGTAGGGGTGGGGGCAGGGGTGGGGGAAGGTGGAGGGGTAGAGGCGGTGGGGGCAGTGGGGGAAGGTGCAGGAGTGGGTGTGAAAGCAGCCACAACAGGAAGAGGAAGAGGAGGCAGGGTTAGTGGGTGCCCCAAAGCTGAGACCCACTTCCCCCCAGTGGGATGAAGGGTCCGAGACTACAGGCTCCCCTCAGCTCTGGCCCCCACATGATGGCCTGGAGGAGGGCGGGGCTGGTGCTCCAGACACAGGGCGGCCAGAAGGAAGAAGCGGGGTGGGGAGAGGGGCAGGCAGGGCCCCAGCGCAAAGCAGCTTCTCAGGGAGCTGGTCTGGGGATCCCCTTGCCTCAGCCCCTGCCCTGCAAAACCCCTGCCCCCTCCCACCCCGCTCCGCACGCCCATAGCTTCTAGGGCTTCCATCTGCTCAGGGACTCACCAGACGGTTGTTCTCGAAGACATTGTCCTTGGAAAGTGAATCAAAATCTCTGCAAAAGGTAAAGGGGAGGAGAAGCACTGAGGAGGTGACTGGCACAGGGGTGCGGAATCTGGAAGGAATGGTGGCCGTGACCTCATCCCACCCAGTGTGGGCCTCAGCAGGGTGGGGGAGGGGTCTGTGGACCGTCAAGGAGGAAACGTCAGCCAGCCCTCAGCCAGGTCTGCCAGGTCGGGGCAGAGGATGAGCTCATGGCCCCCTGCGGCATCCAAGCAGCGGCTGGAAATCACTCTGAAGGGGCGGGGCTCAAGTCCAAGCTTTCAAGTTTAAGACCCCTTCTCTCACAGCACCAGAAAGCCTCGCCCTATGTCAGTGACAAAGGCAAAACTAAGGGGCGCCTGGGTGGCTCAGTGTGTTAAGCGTCTGACTCTTGATCTCCGCTCAGGTCATGTTCTCATGGCTTGTGAGATCGAGCCCCAAGTTGGGCTGTGCACTGACAGTGCTGTACCTGCTTGAGATTTTCTCTCCCGTTCTCAAAACAAATAAACTTAAAAAAAAAAAAAAAAAAACACCAACAACAAAACACAACCCTAAGACCAGGACTAATGTTTGGAATGACAGGAACAGCCACAGATGGATGACCTGTGCTGAGCTCCTGTCTGGAATTTATCTACGTAGCAGCTCAACTGGCAGGTATGGATCCCATTTTACGGATGAGGACCCTGAGACCCAGAGACCGGAAACCACCCAGCCCTAAGAAAGCACGTTTCTGGACTTTCCACTGCCTATCACAAACCCAGAGAAGTCATACCAACTTGCTGAATCCCCAGCCCAGCCCCAAGATGAATGTTTATTAATGGGGCCAGGAACAGAAGAACAAGTTTGAACCGGACTGGAAATCTACATACTCCAGAGCTACTGACACTGAATGCCTGGCTGACCTGCTGGGCCGCTCCTGGAGACGCCTTCTGTTGGGGGCGCGGTAAAGGGTTTCCCAGTTTGTAAGCTGGGACAGGTGAGAGGCAGCAGGGCCTGCCTTGGGGACCCTGGCAAGAGACAGCTGGCTGGCCTGCGGCTCTATTTATCCCCTTCCTCCCCCTCAGCCAGCAGAAGCAGCACAGCCTTCCTGTGCGGCAGCCTCCTGGGTGCACCAGCCCAAAGCCTTGCCCTTCTATGGCTGAAAAGTGCAGCCTTGACTCTCCCAGACGGTGGGTCCAGAGGCCAGAGCAGGCAGCAGCACCACCTCCAAGCTCAGAGTCCCAGGCTCTGCTCTTCCAGGCCCGGCTGTGTGACCTTGGGCAGGTCAGCAGCCATCTCAGCCTCCGTTTTCCCACCTGTAAGTTGGGGGAGCTCCAGGTTGGTGGGGAGGACGGTTTGAGTCTGGGTTGGGTGAAGGACAGACCTCAGTGACACAAGGGAGCAGGCAAGCATGCCCTCCTCCTCCCGCCCCTGACTTCTCCAGGCAGAGTCAAGTACAATGAACCGTGGGCAGAGGCAGGAAAGGGGAGCCTGAGAACCCAAGAGGGAGGCGCCCCAAGGCTGGGTGGGCTAGGACAGGGGAGCAGACTACGTATGAGCCTCAGCCCTTTTGCCACGTCTGGCCAGGTGACTTCCCTCCCGCCACCCGAGGCTGGGTCCCTAAGTCCTCTTGCTTTGCCACCGCCTAAGAGTGTGATCATAAGCTATTTAACATCGCTACACCTCAGCCTCTTGTCCGGCAACACTGTGAATGGGTGAGGGGTCGCAGCCCAGCCCCAGGAAAGGCTTGTTCGGAGACCAAATGAGACAAAAGCAATGGTCCTGGCAGTTTATTTCAGCCTCCCTGGCAGTTTTCCTAGAAGGCTGGCGTCACATTTTGTTCACCTTGTGCCCCCGACACCCCGTGAGCTTCCTGGTACTCCATAAGCGCTCCATAAATGTTCATCGAATGAATAAATTCTGGAAACAGTGTGACAACCAGAAAAGCCCCTGAGATACTAGTATTCCCTCCAGCTTCTTCCCCCACCCCCATCTCTGTCCCTGATCAACATCTGGACTTTAGTAACAACAGATATTTTCTAAGAGTTTTCAAAAGCCCTGGGAAGTTCTATTTGGCTCTGGGGGAGACAAGGACACAAAAATGAAACCCACATGGCCTCTGCCCTCAAGGGAGCTTAAAATGCCTGGATTGGAGGTGGGGGGTGGGCAGTGGTGGGGAACAATGAACTGTCCCCTTCAGCAGGGCAAACCCCACCCCCTGGCAGAGGCAGGGCCCACAGCTCCAAGAGCTTGAACCTTTTAGATGATTTTTGCCCTCGGCCCTTGCCCTACCCCTACTCTCATGGGATCCTCCCCATGCCTTACGTGGCAGCTAGGCCTCAGTTTCTCTCCAGTGCAATGGGCTGGTAGCACGGGAGCTTCCCTCCCCTGCTTAAAACCCATCCACCCGCTTCAGCCAGCAAGAGGCCCTGGCACCCCGGGCCAGCTGCGTCTCCAGGGCCTCCCTACCATGTGTCACATGCCCCAGCGTGGCTCCCTCCCGGGGTCTCTGCTCAGGTGGCCCCCTCTGGCTGGCACACCCTCCCCTCAGCCCTCACCTGGCCCCTGCCATCCCCATTGCCAAGCAGGGCCCAGCACGAGTGGTAACTCTGTAAATACTGCTGAATAAAGGAAGGTAACACACACTCATCACACCCTACTGTCTAATCACATGACTTTCGAATAACCAATGTTAATTGCATGTTCATTATCTCACTCACCCCTCAGACAATTTCCTGACATAGGTTCTATTATCAGCCCCACTTTACAGATGAGGAAACTGATGCCTGGAGGGGGTCCAGTGGTTTACCCAAGGTGGCACACTTAGAACATGCGGGAGCTGGGGCGCCTGGGTGGCTCAGTCGGTTAGGCGTCCGACTTCGGCTCAGGTCATGATCTCAGGGTTCGTGGGTTCGCGCTCTGTGCTGATAGCTAGCTCAGAGCCTGGAGCCTGTCTTCAGATTCTGTATTTCCCTCTCTCTCTGACTCTCCCTGCTCACACTGTCTCTCTCTCAAAAATAAATAAAACATTAAAAAAAATTTTTATTAAAAATAAAGAACATGCGGGAGCTGAACAAAACCAAACAGCCTGCACTTAGTCTGACACTGGGTCCCTTCACACAACTGGCCCTGTCCCCTGCCTCCTGCCTCCCTGCCTGTCCCCAGTCAGTGAGCCCTCTTTACCAACACACAGGTCCAATCTGGGTGCCCTTCTCTCCCCAACCCCCACTCCGGAGCTCACCCACTCCAAGCCTGTGTTGGTGCAGCTGTCACATGTCTCACGGCAGGCAGAAGCCCATGTATGTCTCCACCTCATCTGCTTCGCTTTGGCATCCACATCCCCCAAAACCTTCCACTCCAGGGCCCAACGCAGACCCAGCCGCACCCAGACATTGTACCACCAGGTAGAGAGTGAACCAAGTGCATCCGCCCCATGGAATCCTTGAGACAGTCCTCTCCTCCCTTCTCTCCCTCATCAGAGTCCTCTCAGATGCTCCAGGGGGAGCACGGGTCTGCAGTGGAACAGACACAGAAAGACTGCAGAGCACGCCAAGGCTCCGGGAGCCCTGTTGGGGGCGCTGTTGGCAAGAGAGGCAAGGACAGGGACTCCGTCTCAAGTCGCAGATGAGACAGGAAGCCCAAGAAATGGTGGGTCCCAGCTTAATTTTCAGTGGTGTTTTATGAATGAGTGAATGGGTGAGTGAATGAATGAATGGAAGTTCCGGGGGCCAAGGCAGGGACAGCTGAGAAAAAAGTCCCAAGTCAACTGTTCTGGGGGTCGGAACACACTTTTCCATGAGAACCTCACTGGGCAGCTGGGGGGCAAGAAGGGGCCCTTTCCCACCCTGGAGTAGCCCAGTGGGGGCTGTCAGTCAGACCTTATGGGCCTTCACTCAGCCTCCCTCCCCACTAAGGACAGCAGGGCGGGGGGGGGGCACACACTGGGAGGTAGGGGTGTATATCCACCCATCCAACCACTATTAACCTGGGCTCTCCTCTGTGCCAGGCACTATGCTAGCGCGCTGGAGAAAAGATGGCCCAGGGGAATCAGAGAAGTGAGCAAGGGGAACCCCTCAGAGAGGGGACGGGCCTCAATGCCTCCGAGAGGGAGGGAGGTGTTCAGTGCGCCTGTTTGAAAGCACTTTCGTGCGGGAAAGGCCCAGGGTTCCCAAGGAGAGCTCGGTGCCCCTTCAGAGTTAAGGCCTCCGGGGGCTCAGTGTCCCTTTGGCGGAAATCAGTGCCCTATGGGCGGGGCCGGTGCCCCTAGGCTAGGGACTAGTATGGGGACAGGCTCGGTGTCCCAGTGGGCGGGTCGGGGCTTCGTGGGGGACGGGAGCCCCCTCCCCTCCCGGGTGACGGGTGCTCAATGCCTCCAGAGTCGTTCAGGGCCGTCGGCAGGGTCGGCGTCTCGGTCTCCGGGGGGCGGCGCCTGCCACCGCCCGGGTTCCGCGTCACTGAGGGGGGCGGGGGTCCCCAGCTCCGGCCCGCGCCGCCCTACGCCCCGGCCCGCCCGCCTCCCCCCACCTCCCCGGCACTCACAGCAGGTCGGGCCGGTGCCGGTGCAGGATGGCGCAGAAGGCCAGGCCGTCCCGGAAGGAGCTGCTCAGGTCGCGGATGTCCACGCCTCGGTAGCCCTCGCACTGGCGGCGGCACCAGGCCAGCAGCGCGCCCCGCGGCCCCGCCATGAGCCGCGCGGGGCTCGGGCCCGGCTCCGGGCGCCGCCGGGATCAGGCGTCACCCCCGGGCCCCTCTCGGGCCGGTTTCCGGCGGCGGCTCCAGCTCCTACTCCGGCGCCGCTCCGAGCTGCCGGCGCCGACCGGCGGGCGGCGGGCGCAGGGCGGGGAGGAGGCGGGGCCGCGGCCTCGGTGTCCGCGCTCCGGCTCCGGCGCGGGTCCCGGCTGGGCGCGCTGCTCCCCGCCCGGCCCTGCCCGGACCTGCCCGAGCAGCCGCCGCCCGCGTGGCCCGGCCCGGCCGCCGCCTACTCACCGCCGCCCGCCCCCCTCGCTGTGCGCCCGGCCGCAGGCGCGGGCGTCCCGCTGGCCTCGGTCCCCGCCCGCAGCCGCCGGGAGCTGGGGGCCTGGCGCCCCACCCAGCGGCGGCTCCGCCCCCAGACGCGCCCCCGCCCGCCCGCGGGCCGGACTACCCACTGCCCCTCAGCTCCGCGGTCCCGGTCACCGCTTCCCCTCGGGAAGCCCTCAGAGGACTCCGGGACAGTCCCGTCACTCGCGGCGGACTTGCCCGGCCCACAGTGACTTCTTCCATCCCGCTACCTCCACCACGATGCCCACCTGGAATTCTCCTTTCCGCTCTCTGCCCAAGCTTTGGCCTAAGGACCTGCAGATCCCCTACACTGACTTCCCTAAACCCACACTCAGCTCTCCTGGTCTGAAACTTGGGGCAGGCATTACCCCCACCTCGGGCCAATCAGGTCGTTCCCCTGCTGACCGCAAAGCACCCCCAGAGGGCCACCAGCTTCCCTGACCCTGTCTCACCACTCCAAAGCACCTCTGACCTCCACAGTCCTGTCTGCCACCATCCCCTCCCCCCATTGCCTGCCAGGGTGACTCCACGCTCCCACCACCCCCTCCCCCGCCCCCCATCAGCCCAGGTGTCCTTCAGGGTTCCCTCCCCCTGCGTAGGCTCGGGGATCTTCCCCTCCCCAATGGAATCACCTCCCCCTCCCATCCCAGCCCCAGTAAAAGTGATGGTGGGTGGGGCCCCTGTGGACGGACCTGTGGGAAGCAGGCCCTTGTCCAGCGTGGCTCCGGGCCTCAGCCCCAAGCCACATTCTGCTCTCCTCTCCAACACCCGGGTCAGGGACTCCTCCCCAGAGGCCCATCCCGACCTCAGATGAATCAGCCGAACGCTCAGCTGCCATGGTGGTGACGTCATTCCGACCGATGTAATAGTTAGCTGGGATGGGTCTGCAGCTCCCCTCCCTGCAGGGGTTAGGGTCTTAGTCAGCCCTCAGCCCGTGGAGGTTGGAAAGAACAGGGCTTTGGGAGCCATACCCACCCAGGCCGGAATGCTGGCTTCCCCCACTCACTCCGCCCAGTGATGGTGTGCCTCCCTGAACTTGTTTCCACATCTTAAAAATAGGGTATAGGGGCACCTAGGGGGCTCAGCCCGGTAAGCATTAAGTCGCTGACTCTTGATTTCGCCTCAGGTCCCAATCTCACAATTGGTGAGTTTGAGCCCCAAGTAGGGCCATCCGCTGATAGTGCGGAGCCTGCTTGGGATTCTCTCTCCCTCTCTCTCTCAAATTAAAAAAAGAATTTTTTTTAATTTTAAAAAATAGGGATAATTACTAATGTACGGAATTGTTGAATCATTATATTGTCCACCTGAAACTAATATAACTCTGCATATTAATTCCCCAATTTAAAAAAAATGGGGATAATTCTTGCTTTTTACAAAGTGGCTGAGAGGATTATGACACAATGTGCCTGACCTTTCAGTTATCGCTCGTACATTCCAATGATTGTTACCTGGTACCTGGTAAACATGAGGCAAAATGGATTGAAAACAGTTTTGGGGGCGCCTGGGTGTCTCAGTCGGTTAAGCGTCCGACTTCAGCTCAGGTCATGATCTCGCGGTCCGTGAGTTCAAGCCCCGCGTGGGGCTCTGTGCTGACAGCTCAGAGCCTGGAGCCTGCTTCCGATGCTGTGTCTCCTTCTCTCTCTGGCCCTCCCCACTCATGCTTGCTCTGTCTCTCAAAAATAAATGTTTAAAAAAAATAAAAAGAAAATTAAAAAAACAGTTTGTACCCAGTTTCTCACCTGGGCCTCTTGGTGAATTGTGGAGTAGAGAAGCCCACTTGGGGATGCCCCCCCCCCCAAGGACTTAGGGAGCCCCAGCCCAGAATGCCATTACGACCCCGACCAGGGCCAGCCTTACATCTTAGATCTGTTCAAGGCTGGAAGGCACATTCGTGGCCCAGAATGTAGACTCTCAGGCCACCTAGGAAGTGGCTGCCACAGGCCAGGGTGCCCAGCCAGCCCTCTTGACCCCTCACCGGCCCTGTGCTTGCTACCTCCTGCCCTGTCCCCTGTGGAAAGGCAACTGCAGGAAAGGAAGGTCCCTTTCACTGAATCAGAGACTTGGCCTCGAGACCCACCCTGGCCTTCAAAGGCCACCAGGACTTTCTTTAACACCCAAGAGGGATTCTATCCCTCTCCTCACCAGCCTAAGGGGCTCCCTTCAAGTCGCTGACGACAGCTCCAGATCAGATGTTGATCCCGTTTGCCATAATAATAACTTATAGGGCACAGGCACAGCCCCCTGGGCCCCCATTAGCCCATTTGTGGGTAGCCCACTTATAAGCTCATTATCTGAGTCAGCTCACCACGCTAGGAAATAAGGACCTGCGTGGCCACAGCTGTGTGACTGCAGGCCAGACAGCTCACCCCCAGGAGCCCTAGCTTCCTACCTGACAGGGGGTAATGACCTTTGCCTTGCCTGCATCCCAGGGTTGTGGGTAATCAGGTGAGATGGTGGAGGAAAGACTGCTGTGCATGGGGTGCCTGGCTGGCTCAGTCGGTGGAACACATGACGCGAGTTCAAGCCCCATGTTGGGTATAGAGCTTGCTTAAAAAGGAAAGAAAAAAAGGCTGTGCAGACCGTTAATCCAGGGTTCAGGTGGGTGGTGGGACTGGGTTCTTACAGGTGAGGTCAGAAGCCACACACAGCCTGGCCCCAAATCATACCGTAATTTCAGGATTAGGACTGAGAGATTTGGGCCCTTAATTCAGTACTTTTCTTTATTTTTTAACTACCAATTAAGTGATCACATTCTACTTATCAAAAATTTAAAAAACAGGAGTGCCTGGGTGGCTCAGTCGGTTGAGCATCCAGCTTTGGTTCAGGTTATGATCTCGTGGTTCGTGGGTTCAAGCCCCGTGCTGACACCTCAGAGCCTGGAGCCTGCTTTGGATTCTGTGTCTCCCCACCACCCGCCCCTCCCCTGTTTGTACCCTCTCTTTCAAAAAATATAAACATTAAAAAATTTTTATTTAAAAATAAAAGCTAACATTCCTATTTGTCTCTCTCAGTTCCAGCCCCCTTCTAAGATGTAGCCACATTTGTCAGTTTGAAACTTACCCTTTCAGACCTTATCCGTGCATTTGTATTCAAACATGGACCCAAGGGACACCTGGGTGGTTAGTCAGCTAAGCATCTGACTTCAGCTCAGGTCATGATCTCACAGTCCGTGGGACTCTGTGCTGACAGCTCAGAGCCTGAAGCCTGCTTCGGATTCTGTCTCCATCTCTCTCTGCCCCTCCCCCACTTGTTCTCTGTCTCTGTCTCTCAAAATAAAATATATTAAAAATTTTTTTTAAAAAAATAAGTCATTATGGTTTGAATTTGTAACAACAGTAGGTATAACTTTTTAAAATAACAGCTTTGAGATCTAATTCACGTATCACAAAGTCCCTCTTAAAAGTGTACAGGGGCGCCTGGGGGGCTCAATCAGTTAAGCGTCCGACCTCGGCTAAGGTCATGATCTCAGCTTCGTGGGTTTGAGCCCCACATTGGGCTCTGTGCTGACAGTTAGCTCAGAGCCTGGAGCCTGTTTCATGTTCTGTATCTTGTGCAGTCTCTCTGACCCTCCCCTGCTCACTCTCTCTCTCTCTCAGAAATAAAAACATTAAAGAAAGAAAAGTGTACAGATCAATGGTTTCTATGATATTCACAGAATTGTGCAACCGTCACCACTATTTAATTTGGAATGTCTTCATCCATCCCCAAAACCCTGGACCCATTGGCGCTCATGGCCAACCTCCCCTCCTGCTCCTCCTCCTCCCAGTGCCAGACAGCCACCATTTTGCTTTCTGACTCTCACGTAAGTACCTCATATAAGTGGAATCACACAGTATTTGTTCATTGCTAAACCTTTATTCTGGTCATTGTATTAACCAGTCACTTGAAAAAAACAATCACCTTAACTTTCTCATACCAACACAACATTGTTTACAAAGTAATCAACATTGCTAGGAGAAAATTGGGCTCTGGTTTTAAAACAAAACCAGCCTCGGGGTGCCTGGGTGGCTCAGTCCTTCGGCTCAGGTCATGATCTTGTGATTCACGAGTTCAAGCCCCGCGTCGGGCTCTGTGCTGACAGCTCAGAGCCTGGAGCCTGCTTTGGATTCTATGTCTCCCTCTCTGTCGGCCCCTCTCCTGCTCATGCGTGCTCTCTCTCTCAAAAAGAAATAAAAAACATTAAAAGATGAGGAACCTGGGTAGGTTAGGGGGAGCAAGTAAAACTCTGTAAGAAAAAACTGAAATAAGACAAGGGAGCGGCGCGTTGGAGCTGGGCCATCCTTCCCGTCCGCACAGCCTGGAGCCTCAGCCCCGTGGTTTTCTCATTGTAAGATTTCCTCCTTCTAAGCTGCTCTGTCTGCCAGATTCTATGGTTCTCCAGGTTCCATGGAGGTCTGGCCACTGTGCTTTTCTGCCCAGACCGTGCCCCCCCTGGAATTAGGGCGATGCCCAGGCCCTTGGCTCTGAGCTGCTCCCTGGGGGCTGCCTGGCAGAAGCATGGACAATAGGCGCATTGTGGGACCTCAGGGCTGGGGAGGCATGTGGGAGGCTCGGGTGGCACAAGTGGCAGCAGCTTCACTGCCACTCACTCTCGCTGGGCCAGAAGCACGCCCTGAGCAAGCCGGGACAGCATCCCGAGCCCTGACCCCGGGCCGCCAAGCTGAGCTCGGGGCCCTGGAATCCCAGCTACCCCAAGCCGTTCTTCAAAGGCCATGCTGCTGCCCACATAGACATATTCAGGAAAAGCCATCTGGGACTAGGCATGAAGGCGTGCATCCTGACCCCAAAACCAAACAACCTTCCAACTCAACTCTCCAGAACAGAGAAGACCACGCACTGCCGGTCACTGGGCGGGTGCACTCTGAGCAGGGAAATACTCATGGTTTGCCATCTGGGTCCGTCCCAGGAGGGGAAGTGGGTCAATGAAGCCACTAAACATCCAAGCTGCTAAGGACCATCAGGGGTTACCTAGCAAAGCTCTCTCCTAATACTGACAGGGGAGACTAGAGCCCAGGGAGGGGAGGTGTTTGCCA